AAATGTACCTCCACTACGTTTTGCAGTGTGGACCAACGTAGTGGAGGTACATTTTCCCATGAGACTGGGTTGGATTTCTACAATCATAGTTGTTAAGTTTTAACTTGTTCTGGTTACTTCTAAACTTTAAACATTGACACCTATGCATACATTTCTATTGACTGTTACCTGACTCCACACTAACCCTGAGCCGGCTGAAGGAGTGTGTCCGATTCAGTCCTTTAAGGCGAGCAGAGACACGCTAAGTTAGACCCAAACGTCAGCTGATTACAGCTCTTTGATGGTGCTGTAATAAGCCTGCAGCCAGCGAGGCCAGAAAGGTGCAGCAGCTCCTGATACACCTCCAGAACAAGACCTGGATTCATTGTCGTCTCTGTACCCGACAGGGAGGGTGGAACCCACAGCTGGACCCAACTTTAGCTGTAAAGTCTTTCACTAACTACAGTCTTTTTTTTTCCCAATGACGTATTTTAGCCACATAAACTTCTCCTGCACACAGGCTTAGTCACGCCAGCTAATTGACCGTCTCCTCACAGCGGCTCCAAACTGAGCAGCCTAAGCTGTAAAAGTGCAGTGGTGAGAGAAAACCTGCCAACCTGCGCTCCGATTGGCTGCCCAGAGAACACAGCGGGTCTCCCATCAGACCAGGACCTATGAGGAGGAGCAGATTCACACGTCAACATGCAGAGCAAGGCAATTCAGCTTATTTCAGTTTTCATAGACAGATTAGCTACAGTGAAAAGTTGTTGGGATGCAAAAAAAAACTAAAGTACTAACAGTCAACAGGAAATAGCATCATGTAAAAATAAAAACACCTCAAACATTCCTGTAGAAGCATAAAGATCAGGTAAAATGTCAGAAATCTTCCAGTTCTTCTCCCTGGATTATAAATCTACTGCACACTGTTGATCAAATTAAAGGCCCCATAAACTTAAAGTGGAAAAACGCGACAAACCAGAAGCTCTAATGTTTGACTGAAGACATTGTCCACATCCAAAGCATAAAACGTTCTTCCATCTTTCAGTCCCATGTTGGGATCCTTATTAAAACAGATTTATGGCCTTTAACGGTTAAACCCATATTAAGCATGTTAGTGATTTATATCTTAAACTCTATATGAACTAGAGCCTGTTAATTAATATTTATTTGTGTTTCTTTAGAACCGTGCACCATCTACCCTTTATTGCTATGCATGCCAGTGACGTTGCCACATGATGTAAAACATTGTGGTTGCCCAGACAACGATTATAACATCATGTAGCGTCTGTTTGCAGAGTCAGGAGCATCTGTAGTGTTTGTCTAATGATCAATGAAGACCTGATTGATAACAAAACTGAAAGAAATGTGTTTCTGGTGAACAAAGTAACAGTTAGACCCTGATATAAAGGGGAGAGCTGGGTAGCCACGTGGCTAGCTGTGCTCAGCAACTAACAGGTTAGCCTCTTTTAGCTCGGTCAGTTAGCCTTATTAAGCTACACTACTTTTAAATTTGTATCAACAACAGCCGTTTGTTTTCTACAAGTAGAATAACTGTTTGTGTAAAATCTCTATGATAGTCATTTTTTTAAAACACCCAATTTGTCCTCCTCTGCCCTCAGATCTTAATTAAAAGAATAAAAATAAGCTGGAACTTTTTTTGTCATCTTTTTAAATGGTAGAGCTCATTTTTAGAGGGCAGTACTTTCCTTCAAGTCTGACAATGATTGTTTTTTACCTTCGGCTGCTTTAGATCTTTCATTAAATATAAAATAATAGCAAATATAGGAAATAATATGTTGAGGCTCCAGAAGAGATTTGATCTTGAAGAGGGTGCATTACAGTTTGGCGAGTGGAGTTGCCGTATGATGGCGTCATGGGTGGGGCCCCGAGCAGATCTGACCACCTGAGCAGATCTGGTACGTAGGGGTCTGAGCGGCTCCCACAGAGAAATAATCTTTGAAGGCAGGATGGTAATCTGGATGAACTGACTGCACAGACCATGTTTTCAGGAGGACTTTCTCACTTCAACATAGATTCTAACTACTTTCTACCCGCTGATCACAGCTAATGTAGCAAAGTCGCTCTCTGGCATCAAACACGTGAGCAGCAGAAGCATCACACACATCTGGACACAATTTACTGGACGTCTGGCTTCAGTGTGGACAAGCATCAGAAATTAAAGGAATAGTACACCCAAATCATGATTAGCCTTCATTTTCTACTCACCCCCATGCTGAACAA